GATGCTTTACGGTACGAAAGCGTAATACGCAAAACGCTATCGCTTAATTTGCAAATCTAAAAGACTTAAAGTTGTTAGCGTTCGAGTCGAAAAGATAATTGACTTTATTAATAAAACGATAACCTTCGCGGCGCGCGAAGTACTCTCGATTTAAAAAACGATATTAACGGCAACGCTCTTTCGAGATGCCGAGCTTTTTTTCGGCGCTACGGCTTTAAAAAAAGCTAAAGCTAAGTTTGTAATAAAATTAAAGACGATAGACGATAAGCATTTATTAATTAATCGGATACTTTTGCGGATCCGATAACGCGATCGCAGCGTAAAGATTATTAAGATTTTCGAAATTAAGATTTAAAAACTAAAAACTCTTTTCTTAAACGTTTTTCGCTTTCGCTTCGTCTTTTCGCATTTTATATCGAAAAGCAAACGAGACTCGGCGAACGGCAAAACGAAAAAAGAAGCTGCTGCTATATTCGAAGCATAATAACAATAGCTTTCGTTAAAAAACATTACGATCTTTTCGAACGAGTTAAAATAATACGATTAAAGCAATCGATTAATAAGTTATAAGTACGTAATCTATCGAAGACGATAAAAGATAAGCTACGAGTACGGCTTTATTAACAATTGCTTTTACGTCTTTAACGCGGAAGCGATAAAAGCATAGAAAAGCTTCGAACGAATAATATACGCTTATCCGACGGCGAAACGGATTTAGCTTTATATCGATAGCATATTAATTATCTAATATTTTCGCGAAAATGCTTTTCTATTATTGCAATAAGCGTTTTTAAACGTTTAAAAAGTAATAAAGACTCGAAACGTGCGAATACGATAGTCTTTAAAGCATATAAGCATTAAAAAGAACGAACGAACGGATAAGCTTGCAGACTTAAAAGCAAAGAAATCGGATTAAAATATTAATTTAATATCGCAATTTACGATTAGCGGTATTCGTACGCTCTTTCGCGATATACGAAATAAAGCACGAAAAGCTTAATAAAGCGCAAGCTCTTTTAAACTTTTACGCTCGTATCGAAAATAAAGCTTTTTATATTTAATTAAGCTTCTTTCGAAGCTAAAACTCTTACGATATGTTTTATATAAACTACTTACGATCCGAACTACGCACGAAGACTTTATTTAATATTATATTAAGTTTTAGCATTACGACGTTAATTTAAAGTATGCTTACGGCAAACGCAAATCCTTTTTGCATATAGCTTTTTATCGATTCACGTAACGACGCTTCTTTTCTTAGCTTCATAAGATTCGATCGCGGACCTTTTCGAGCACGATTTCGAAAGCTTACGACTTTTTTAAAAGTCTTTTTAATAATCCGGCCGATTTTTAAGCCTTCTTAACTATTACGGAGTTCTACTTTAAGCATTACACTCGATAAAAGTGCTACTTTAGCTAATTAATATTGCTTCGATAAAGAGAACGGAGTACGCTCCGCTTTACTTAAGCTATAAAAGCTCGTTAAATCAATCGCGTTACGAGATTAAGACTTTAAAATAACGTAATGCGCTTTCGAAGGAATTCTTTTTAGCATTAATATATTATATTAAGTTTTCTTTTAGAGTTTAAGCTTTCGTATTCACTTTTTCTTTTATACTCGGCTAACCCCGGTCCGGCCTTAATTTTTATCGCTACGCGACGTAAACAGCTCGCTTTTAACTAATTATAATAGTTTATACATACTCGACTCTTTCTTTTATAGTTTTCTTTTAATAAAAGGTTTCTTTCTATGTAATCTATCTTATTTATAAAGGAAAGGCGCATGCGATAATAGCTTTCGTTATATCACTTTGAATTGCTTTTTAAGGCCTTCTTATATGTAACTCCTTAGCTTAGCACGTCGCCGTACCCTATAAGAAGTCCTAAGGCGGCAGGCTTCGCCTGCTACCCGCCCGACGTAAATAAATACAACAACAACAACAATTTCCTTTTCCTTTTCCTTTTCTCTTTCTTTCTTTTCTTCCTTTATTAACTTTTTAATCCAACTTTTTCTTTCTTTCTCTTTCTCCTTTTCTTTCCTTCTTCTTCTTCTTTACTTTTCTTATCTTTTAAAAACTTACACCCAACTACACCTTTTCTTTTCTTCTTCTTCTTCTTCCTCTTTCTTACCGCTTTTAAGCTTATAACAAACCAACTTAACCCAACCCAACCTCCTTCTTATCAAGCCGCGAATCGATCAACGACCTTTACTTACAAAAGCTTAAAAAAAAAAAAAGCTTTAACTCAAGAATAATTTACTTGTATAACCACCGTGCGGAAGCGTTAGATTAGATTCGATTCGATTTGATTCGATTCGGTTTTAAGAAATGAAAGAAAAGAGAAGGTTGAATTGAATTGCGAAGTTGATTTTAAGTAGTTAGTTAGTTGGTAGTTGGTAGTTGGTAGTTGTGATTAGTTGGTTTGTTAGTTAGTTGTGATTAGTTGATTAGTTAGTTAGTTGGTTAGAAGCGGGAAAAAAGAAAGAAGAAAGGAAGAAGAAAGAAGAAGAAGAAGAAAGAAAAAAGAAGAAGAAAGAAGAAAAGAAGTTTCGTTTGTAAAAGCTTAAAAAAAAAAAAGCTTTAACTTAAGAATGACTTACTTGCACAACAACCGTGCGAAAGAGTTAGATTAAATTAGATTTGATTTGATTCGGTTTTAAGAAAAGAAAAGAAAAGAAAAGTTAAATTGCGAGGTTGATTTTAATTAGTTAGTTGGTTAGTTGATTCGTTAGTTGGTTAGTTAGTTAGTAGTTGTTATTAGTTGGTTGGTAGTTGTGATTGATTGGTTAGTTAGTTGGTTTAAAACGAGAAAAAAAAAAGAAAAGGAAAGGAAAGAAAAAAAGAAAAAGAAAGAAGAAGAAGAGGTTGATTTAAATCAACGACCTTTACTTACAAAAAGTTAATTAAAAAAAAGCTTTAACTCAAGAATGACTTACTTGCATAATAACCGTGCGGAAGCGTTAGATTAGATTAAATTAGATTTGATTCGATTCGGTTTTAAGAAAAGAAAAAAAAAGAAAAAAAAGGTTAAATTACGAGTTTTAATTTTAGTTAGTTAGTTGATTAATAGTTGTAGTTAGTTGGTTGTTTAATTTAAAGCGAGAAAAAAAAAAGAAAAAATAAGAAAAGAAAAAAAGAAGAAGAAAGAAAAGAAGTTTCACTTACAAAAAGTTAATTAAAAAAAAGGTTTTAACTTAAGAATAACTTACTTGCATAACTATCGTGCAAAAGAGTTAAATTAGATTAGATTAAATTCGATTTGATTCGGTTTTAAGAAAAAGAAAAGAAAAGAAGAAAGTTGAATTGAATTGCGAAGTTGATTTTAGTTAATTAGTTGGTTGGTTAGTTAGTTAATTGGTTGGTAGGTAGTTGTGGTTGGTTGGTTGGTTGGTTGGTTAGTTGGTTGGTTTGAAGCGGGGAAAAATAGGAAAGGAAAGGAAAGGAAAGGAAGAAGGAAAAGAAAAGAAAAAAATAAGAAAGAAAAAAGAGAAAGGAAAGAAAAGAAAAGAAGTTTCGCTTGCAAAAGCTTAAAAAAAAAAGCCTTAACTCAAGAATAACTTGCATAACGACCGTGCGAAAGAGTTAGATTAAATTAGATTAGATTCGGTTCGATTTTAAAAAAAAAAAGAAAAGAAAAAGTGAATTGAATTGCGAGGTTGATTTTAATTGATTAGTTATTAGTTGGTAGTTGTAATTGATTGGTTGGTTGGTTAGTTGGTTAGTTGATTAGTTAGTTAATTAGTTGGTTGGTTAGTTAGTTGGTTGGTTGGTTGGTTTGAAGCGGGAAAAAATAAGAAAGAAAAGAAGAAAGAAAGAAAAGAAGAAGAAGAAAAGGAAGTTTCGCTTACAAAAGCTTAAAAAAGGTTTAACTCAAGAATAACTTACATAACAACCGTATAAAAGAATTAAATTAAATTAGATTTAATTCAGTTTTAAGAAAAGAAAAGAAAGAAAAAGTTGAATTGAATTGCGAAGTTGATTTTAATTGGTTAGTTAGTTGGTTGGTTGGTTGGTTGGTTAGTTGGTTGGTTAGTTGGTTAATTAGTTGGTTGGTTTGAAGCGGGAGAAAATAAGAAAGAGAAAGAGAGGAAGAAGGGAAAGAAGAAAGGGAAGAAAAGAAAGAAGAAAAGGAAAAGGAGGTTGATTTATTGATTTATTTTAATTTATATTTTTTATATAATAATACAAGCTAATACAATTTAATCACTTACTCCTTTCCCCTTCCTTTTCCTCCCCGTCCTCCTCCCCTACCAACTTCTCAATCCAACTCCTCCTTTTCCCTCCCTCCCTTCCTTCCCCACCTTTCTTATCATCAAAAAACTCATACCCAACCACACCCCCCTTCTTCCCCCTCACTTCTCTTAGCAACAAACCCACCTCCTTCTTACCAGGGCAAAGGACCAAGTTCTTTGTAGTGTCACCAACGGGCTGATTACTCAATTTATAAAAATCTTTATATATTTAAGTAAATTACAAAATAAATAATAATAAAAACTGAATAAATATCAAAGTAGTTAGCGCAAGAAATAATTTATTTAAAAATTTATCATAAAAAAGAATCCTCTTTAAACACTTCTTTTTATAAAGGAGAACTTAAACCCTTTTACGAATTACTTATATTTTAATGATCTAATATAAGGGG